AGAACTGCCAGCTCGTTATCGAATCTCCTATAATGTATCTTTAAAGGAGCTAAATCGCTAATATTTGTGACATAAAAATGGGAAGACAACAATAAACATACATTTTTCTATCTCAACACAGCTAATCCTCTTTGAATTGAGTCAAAATAAAAAAAGTAATTGGGAGAGGGAGAGAGGGAGAAATGGGGTTTAACGTCCACTCGACACAAACTAGGTCATTTCGGGACTAACATATGTTTTTTTTAAAATTTTATTTCAATAATTTGCTTGCGCGTAGGGGTCTTTAGCTGTGGGAGGAAACCGGAGGACCCGGGGAAAACCCACGAGGTTGGACAGGCGAACCTACTCCTTGTCACGTACAACCGGAGATTCGAAACCTCGCCAGTTGACTCAATGACAGGCCTTATGATACAACACGCACGTGCTAACCAAAATAATTGGGATTGATACAATGTGCTATTTCAATACAATTAAATTTGGGTCGCAACGCATATAATAATGTAATATGAATGTATATAAACTGATTTACATTCAATTGTTTCTGTTTTTACTGTAATTTCTAATCAATTATGTTTGGCGAAATATGCCAGAAGTCTCAATCGAATGGCAATCTCAATTTGTGAAAAAAGATTGGTATTTAACGTGCATGCTCTCCAGATAAGAATATAGCATCACCGTTTGACATGACATCTGGAATATGTCTAGCCTTGATCTTCGAGTTGTTTGTTACAAATGACGCTGAAACACATTATAGTACACGATTTGTGTACCAATGGTAAAATGTTTATTGTGTCTTAAATATTGGATATCAGATTCCCATCTTTTCCAGGTAAGATCACAACATCAGTGTTGATTTGAGTTGAGAAATAATTATGTTTTTGATGTCAAAGACTCTGGGTGATACTGAGTTAGAGACTTAGCTACTTTAAATGTCTATTTGGGGAGCTTTGAATCTCTTGAAAACTACAATAGTGTGAAAGTTAAATCTCTAAAAAAGTTCAATTCCGTTCAGTATTTATAAATATATGACATTCGACATCTTCTGTATATGATATAAACAAACCAGTGCCACCTATAAAAATCGGGTAAAATCGTTTAACCGGTCTTTTTTAATCTGACTGAATACCAATCGGGAGATAATTCTATCGATCATAACAAAGAAATATACAGAGACAGGACAGTTTAACGTCCAATCGACACAAACTAGGTCTATTGGGACTAAAACATGGTTCAATCTTTAGCAGTGGGAAGAAACCAGAGGACCCGGAGAAAACCCACAAGGTTGGACAGATGACCCTACTCCTTGTCACATACATCCGGGGATTCAAATCCATGCCAGTTGACTCAATGACAGACCTTATGATACAGCGCGCATATGCTAACGATTCGGCCATCCAACCCCCCTACAGATGGACGGATTAGTGGACAGACAGGGGTGACCGCAATATACAACCACATTAAAATAATTTGAAAATAGTTCAATTTACCTTTTACTAAATTGATGAGAAACTTCGAATTGTCTTTGAAGTCTTTATATCACGTTCAATTCCAACTAAATTGTAACGAACTTGACACAAGAGACTTAAATCCACATTGGAACAATCAGAAGAAGAGGTTAATGACACCCAGCCGCTGTCGTTTATCTCTGTTTCTTCAACAAAATGAACAGTTCCAGGTCGTTCAAAGCCATCACACAGAAAATTGGCCACCAATAAACACCTCATATACAGCGAAAAGTCAATTTAGTCAGATTACTTTCCAATTCCCAAAAGCTTGATCTACAGGGGGAATTTCATTTAACTGTTATCACCCTGTTTCCTCGTAAAGATTGTCGACTTTTCTGTAATTCTCGTAAAAAATGTCCTGATCTGATTGGAGTTGTTGGTTAGGAGTGTTTCATATCTGACAGGGGATCAGGCCAATGTCATTTTTTATTTCAAGGGAAAATAGATTCTTAGAAATTGAGAGAGAGAGAGAGAGAGAGAGAGAGAGAGAGAGAGAGAGGGTTTAACGTCCACTCGACACAAACTAGGTTATTTCGGGACTAACACATGGTTGAATTTTATTTCAATAATTCGCTTGCGCGAAGGGGTCTTTAGAAATGGGAGGAAACGGGAGGACCCGGAGAAAATCCACGAGGTTGGACTGGCCACTCTACTCCTTGTCACATACAACGTGAGAATCCAAACCACACTAGTTGACTCAATGACAGACCTTAGGTGCTAACCATTCAGCTATCCACCCCCCAGAAATTGAGAAAGGTATTAAAAACTGACAGCCACACTGGGTGTCATGACTAAAGAAGGGTATGCTTATTCTTTCCTGAACTTTTACCAATCTTATTTCTTGTCAGGAATGTCGGCTATTCTTCAATTTCAGAGTTTGATTAACAATTAAGAGTAACGGTTGTGGAAAAAGATTCTTTTCAATTTATATATGTTTTCTAGATTTTGCTCAGATAGCAAAATTTCCACCTGTTTTTGTTTTTTTTTAAAATGAAATCAATGGTGTTCTGCTCCTACTGGGCTAATGAAGACAGGCATACGTCATACAGTGTGCTATGAGGGAAAATTTAATTAGGACAGTGGCACTATATGGCCCACTTTTTTATATCGAATTCCAACTGCCAAGGGATCTTTCACGTGCACGACAATAAAACTTTTATTGTTTTAATGTATCAAATACATCAATAAGAAACTACGTTAACATTTTTGTGTTCCTGAATCCAAGATATTTCTTAAAGTGGTTGAAAGTCATGTAAATTCTTAACTTAGGTCAGAGAAAGCCTTTTGAAACAAAGTCTGAGTGACTATATGCTGTTAATTGCCAAAGTACTTCGTGGACCAACACCATGATCGAACTGACCACACAGCAGCCTCTGTGGATACTCCTTACCATGTTAATGACGGTCCGCGACTTTAAATCATATAAACTAATTCTATCGGAAAAAAACAAATCAATCAACACTGTGCCTTTAAGGATGATGTTACCCTAAACGGCAACGACACCACACAACAAATAGACATTTTGATAATGAGGCTATTTCATGTTACTAACAAGACAATAAATCTTATCAAATTCTCATCACCTTCGATATGTTTTTTTCTTTTTTAAATTGATTGTCGCAATGAGAAAGATACGTTTCTATTGATTACTTATTGTCAGTCAATCAAATGTTCTAAATCAAGTTATTAAAATAAAAGTTATCAAATTCTCATCACCTTCAATAGGTTTTTCTTTTTTTAAATTGATTGTCGCAACGAGAAAGATACGTTTCTATTGGTTACCTATATTGCCAGTCAATCAATTGTTCTAAATCAAGTTATTAAATGAAATGAAATGAAATGGGGTTTAACGTCCTACTGTTCTGCTCCGAACTGGGCTAATGAAGATGGGCCTATGCCATACAGTGTGCTATGAGGGAAATTTTGCCTGGACAGCGGCACTACGGTCTACTCTTATATTGAATTCCAACTGTCAAGGGATGTTTAACGAACACGGCACCTTGGTTTTTCGTAACATCCGAACGACTAGACAACTGTACTTGTCAGGCATTTTTCAGACAACATAGAATCTTTCATGGCTTAAACCCCAGTGTAATGTACTCAAACTGGGAATCGAAACCATGTCAGTTGACTCAAAGATAGATCTTATGATACAACGAGCACACGCTAACCATTCGGCCATCCAACCCCCTGGCACTAAAGAACAGTAATATAACGTGTTATTTATAAGTCTGTATGAGACTAATAGAGGCAGGATTAATACTTATACATGCGCGTAGGGGTCTTTAGCAGGGGGAGGAAACTGAAGGACCCGGAGAAAACCTACAAGGTTGGACAGGCAACCGTACTCCTTGTCACATACCACCAGGGAATCGAAAAAACACCTGTTGACTTAATGACACATCTTATGATAGAATAAAATGATCTAAATGTGCTACAAAAATGATTCCAATCAAAATGTCTGCTTATTAAATCAATTATTTAAATTAATCAACAAAATAACACGCAAAAATTCAAAGGAGAAATAAACCAAGACTCAGAGATGTTTTCCGAGATTCTAAGGTATTAACAGACTGAAGAACAATCATTACTTTAAACAAATGGTTGAACTTGGCTTCACTTACAATCAAAATGTCTGCACACTTAAATCAATCGTTGAACTAACTCGACAAATACCATATAAAAGAGTTTAAGATAGTTAATCGAGAAACTAGAAGTAAAGACATCAATATCCAGTTGGGCCGATGATTAGATAACTAACCTTATTATTGATTTCAAGAGGAATTTCTTAAAGACTTCCCGGTCTTTAGTAAAATCATTATTACAAGCCAAACCCTCCTCCAGGCTGTTCGACTCCAGGCAACAGGGCATACAATCTTTATAGAGTTATTTCCCCTTAGTCTTTTGAAATAATCTGTAAACATGTTTTTGAATAACCTTGGTTAAGGTCCTTGGTTAAGGTAACTGCTCAGGGGCAGCTGAAAGTAGCTTTGTGAAAGACCGCTAGAATGTCAGAACACATCAGTCAACAACACTGATTTTCATTATTTACAAAGTTTTGATAACAAGGGAAATAACTCTTTAAAAATTGAACATGGCTCTGATTTTTGATAGGTTCCCCATTCTGACTTCATAAAAAATCCCAAAACAGAAAAATGGAAGAGAGAGGGAGAAAAATGGGGTTTTACAGCCTCTCGACTCAAACTAGGTCATTTCGGGACTAACACATGGTTCAATGTTATTTCAATAATTTGTTTGCGTGTAGGTGTCTTTAGCAGTGGGAGGAAACCGGAGGACCCGGAGAAAACCCATGAAGGTTGGACATGCGATCCTACTCCTTTACACGTACAACCGTGGAATCGTAACCACACCAGCTGACTCAATGACAAACCTTATGATACAGCGCGCACGCGCTAACCATTTGGCCACCCAACCCCTGATTTGTCTAGTTCTTTTCAAAAACTTTTTAACGTCTTACAAAAAATAACTATTTACCTTCTGTACTTAGACCTGGACTGGAAGTAAATTTGGCCACGTCCACCATTTTGACAGCGAACTGCTGTCCTGTATATTTGTGAAGACATCTTCGAACAACGCTGTATGGACCCCTGAAAAATAAAATATATATTTGTTAAATCAGTATTCATATTAAATGAATAACCTGTTGTCATCCAACCAATATTTTATCAGCAAATTGGGTTTTCATAGAAAGGATCATCATAGGTTTCCACAGTGGTCTCATTCCGTTCTACTCCACTATGCCTTGGGTTAATCCATAGGGTTTCCACGACTTCAAATTATCTGCCCTGGCCTTGTTTGTAGCTTGAGTCTACGAACCAATCCAAAAAACAGTTTACAAACCAGTCTTACCAATTAAATGGCCTTCGTTTCGTGTTCGTTTTTATAAGGGTAGATAACCTTATTCACGCCATTTACTGAATGATTTATGTAAATAATGTGTATATTTCTAATTCATTTATATTTTATTGTATTATCAAAATCTGTAGTATGTTTCGCTAATTTCAAATATGTATAACATCTATATGTATCACTTTTGTTATAATTATTAATATTCGTTATTTGTCTGAAATGTTTCATAAACTATTAACATTCTGTTATGTTTATTATTATTATTGAACTTATACTTTTTTTTCTTTTTTTTTTTTGTTGTCTGCAATATCACCTCGGTGGAAGCGGACGTTAAATAAAGCTATTTCGCACATATACTTTTAAAAGAAATGGAATAAAATGGGGTATAACATCAAACTGTTCTGCTCCAGGATAATAGGGCCATAACTGAAATAGTTACAATTTCACTTATCATGTACAACTGCAATTTCTACTGTACCAAAAGAAATGGAACAAAATGGGTTTTAATATCCTACTGTTCTGCTCTGGGATAATAGATACAGTTCTAAAATGCTAAATATATACTTCAAGGATCTGAACATCATCTAAATATTTTCTTAATATACTTAAAATATCTGAAAATCATTTAAAGGACTGAGGAATTTTGTTTTCTTGATTAAATGATAATAATTTGAGTTCATTTTAGCGTGGATTAATTTAAGCTATGGAAAACTCAACATTTTCAGAGAAATGCAAGTCACACGCAGGTTTTAGAACAATGAAATTTTCTTTCTCACGCTAATCTTATGGTTATCACGTTTCCACTTTCCTAGTTGAAAGAATCTTGACGGAATCTCAATAATTTCGTTATTATAAATGCGGTTAGGCTTCTTTCCTGTAATAATCCCAACAACATATTATATAATAATATCCGGAAGATCAGCTAACAATTCGAGATTTTGTAAGGGTTAAGATCTTAGATTACCCGAGAAATACAATAAATCTATATAACCATTATAATACTGATGTGGGAGTCCATCACTTGCATCCTACATTCATGTCTAAATATATCTGTTATTCTTAAAGCAGAAATTTCAAATTTTCAAGTTATATTTTTAAAATGTATTAAAATAAAGCCTTAAAATAGATGGTATCCATAAACAGTCCTACCTTGTTAAAGAATAATCCTATTAATCCTATAATTCGTTATTGCCAGCTGAGAAATTGGCAAAAATATCATTTTTAACTTCAAATTCCAACGTTGGAAAATGGCTGCCCCATGTTGTCAATAGCAAAACAGGGGAGGTAATTGTGTTATTTCCTGTGTCATAGATTTTTAAGGGTGGGAAATAATGCCCATGATCGTATAATAGTGAATTGATAACCTATTGAACAAAAGACATAGAAATAATTATGTTTTGACTTTCTTAGAAAATTTGAAATTCTCGCTTTAAAGATACTTTCCCTGTGTACAACTGTGTGATATGATGATATATTTGGACTAAAACCATTTTCAAACTAATTAATCTATCCAAAATTTGAATCCCTCTCAAAACTTTGTATTCATCAGAATGTATTTTTTTCGTTACTTACTGTCCATTTATAATACATATTGAGGCCTTAGTAAATTCTTAATTATTTCCTGTTGACTACTTTTGCCGCCATTTAATTGTGCCATGTTAAAGGAGCATTATGGAAGATTAGATAAAGAGTTGACAATTCTCTCTATAATAGTTAAAAAATTGATAACGTAAATAGAATATGCTGAAAATTACAGTCAAATTGCTCCACTCTGAGCATTAGCAATCAAATTTTAGACCTAGCCTCGATCATCATTACTAAAGTCAGTACGTTAAAAAAAACAAAGTCTCGATTATCCATTTCAACATTTAATTATCATTCACAAAATGTATTCGAATCGGCTAAGTATCGCAGATTAGCAATGGCATCGAGAGTTGATTATGGTTTGGATAAGTTAATTAATGTCTAATTAATAATTTAGATAACATATCAGGCCTAAAGAAAGATCTGTAATTGGCAGATTTAGCTCTTGAATAATGTATGTTTAATCTATGTCTGTATGTTAAACATTGATTTGGTTCGAAGTACCAATACCATAAATATAGATTTTAAAGTAGCTAAGTCTCTTACTCAATATCATCCAAAATACATATATAGAGTTTGTATTGTTGAAATGAAATGGGGTTTAACGTCCTACTGTTTTGCTCCGAACTGGGCTAATAAAGACGGGCATACGCCATACAGTGTGCTATGAGGCAAATTTTGCCCAGACAGCGGCACTACGGCCTACTCTTATATCGAATTCCAACTGCCAAGGGATATTTAATGTGCAAACCAATGTGTACACGGGACCTCGGTTTTTCGTCCCATCCGAACGACTAGACAGCTTTCTTTGATATGTGTATGGTACAGAATGACCAATTCCTCTTTAATAATCAAAATCATCGCCGTTTATTAAAAGTAAGAAAAGGTTTTTTATTAAGGTATCTTTTATTATTAAAAGTAAGGTAAGGTATAGCATTAAGGTATCGTTTATTATTAAAAGTAAGGAAAGGTATAGCATTAAGGTATCGTTTATTATTAAACGTAAGGAAATGTATATCATTAAGGTATCGTTTATTATTAAAAGTAAGGAAATGTATATCATTACGGTATCGTTTATATTAAAAGTAAGGAAAAGGTATATCATTAGGGTATCATTTATATTGAAAATAAGGAAAGGTATATCATTAAGGTATCGTTTATTATTAAAAGTAAGGAAGGGTATACCATTAAGGTATTGTTTATTATTAAAAGTAAGGAAAGGTATATCATTAAGGTATTGTTTATTATTAAAGTAAGGAAAGGTATAGCATTAAGGTATCGTTTATATTAAAAGTAAGGAAAGGTATAGCATTAAGGTATTGTTTATTATTAAAAGTAAGGAAAGGTATATCATTAAGGTATCGTTTATTATCAAAAGTAAGGAAAGGTATATCACTAAGGTATCGTTTATTATTAAAAGTAAGGAAATGTATATCATTAAGGTATCATTTATATTGAATGAAAGGAAAAGGTATATAATTAGGGGAATGGTTTATTATTAAAAGTAAGAAAAGGTATATCATTAAGGTATTGTTTATTATTAAAAGTAAGGAAGGTATATCATTAAGGTATCATGTATCATTTAAAGTAAGGAAAGGTATATTATTAAGGTATATCATTAAGGTATCGTTTATCATTAAAAGTAAGGACAGACATGGATTAACTAGAAATAAAAAAACAAAGGCGAAAAGTCCTAACCATTAGGAGCTGAATGATGATCTAGCCAGAACACACAACAGAACTGATAGACCATTTTCAGCACAGACCGTTTCTCTCTAGTCCCTTGCAAAAGAGACTAAAAAGTTCATTAATCTCTGTTACTTTAATCCGTGTTATAGCCAGATATGACAAGAACATCATTCAGGAGCCATGTTGACCTGCGATATACATGTAGTGAGGTAGTATTTAAAGCCCTCAGGGTGAATTACAGGTCAAAGATTAGATCCACTTAAAGGAAATTAGTGAAGGAATTTGTTTAAATTACGTTACAAAAAGTGCATTTTCGTTCAATAAGTTGTTCAAATTACTGTTGTTCTATTCCTGTATTAGAAAGTCTCTCTTCTCACAAAATTATACTTTAAAGTCCCTGAGCGTGATTTAAGTGACATATGCTGGCCCTTTCTATTTCCTCTCTTTTTGCATCTTTTTCTTGATTGCATCTGTCAACAAAACAGGTCTATATTCCTTCCAAGATAAATTCTTCATTGTCGGATGACGTAATAATATTAGAGAGATAGTGAGAGAGAAATGGGGTTTAACGTCCAGTCGACACAAACGAGAAAACCCACAACTCTTTGTCATGTATAACCGGGGAATCGAAAACCATGCCAGTAGACTCAATGACAGACCTTATGATACAGCACACACGTGCTAACCATTCGGCCATCCAACCCCCCACATAATATTACAACATGCTCATCACCATGTCTGTCCAGCCTTGTGGGTTTTCTGGGTCCTCCCACTGCTGAAGACCTCTACACACAAGCGAATTATTGAAATAAAATTGAATCATGTGTTAGTCCTGAAATGACCTGGTTGTGTAGAGTGGAGGTTAAAGCCCATTTCTCTCTCTCTCCATCGCCATGTTAAGTGTGTTCGCAAAATATGACTGATTAGAATCCAGAGAGAGAGAGAGAGAGAGAAATGGGGTTTAACGTCCACTCGACACAAACTAGGTCATTTCGGGACTAACATATGGTTTTAATTTTATTTACATAATTCGCTTGCGTGTAGGGGTCTTTAGCAGTGGGAGGAAACCGGAGGACCCGGAGAAAACCCACGAGGTTGGACAGGCGACCCTACTCCTTGCCACGTACAACCAGGGATTCGAAACCACGTCAGTCGACTCATTGACAGACTTTATGATACAGCGCGCGCACGCTAACCATTCAGCCATCCAACCCCCCGATTAGAATCCAAGTCGAAAATAAGGTAGAGTTGATATCTTGTTTTTTTAATTAAATGTTAAATAATTCATCTGGGTACATATTAGCATGGACTAAATTGTGAGAAATTTGATGCTTTCCGAAAAATGCAAATCATGCAGTTTCTTAATGTCCGTATCTTGGAAACATCATTTTCAGTGGTTACCCTGTTTCTTTAAGCACACTGTGATACAGAAATGCTATTAATAATAAAATGTCTTCTGAGTTGT